GGCATAATTAGAATACATTCTCCAAATTGAAGTTGCTGTATCAAAGAATAAGCTGCATTTTTAATTTTCATAATTATTGCCAGACTGCACCATTTTCAGTCCAACCAGCTTTATATGAGACTGTAATCCCCACAGGTTCCCCAAGGGCCTAGGTGGTCAAACTTTTTCATATTTGCTGTTCTGATAAGTAAAAAATAGCTTAGTTTCATTTTAATTTGCATTTTTCTTGAAGTTGAGCACCTTTTCAGTTTTTACCTCAGGGTGGTAGTGAGGATGAAGCGAGTGTTATACACAGCTAACATTCTTTGAATTGTTAGGTCGCAAAACCTCATTTTTGTCACATTATCTAATCGCCATCACAATCTATACAATCCCTTATGAAATGAAAGTAAGTCATTCCCTGGGTGACATAATTCCTCAGGATTGCTCCTCTTCCCCATCTTAGGGTTCAAGATTAACCAGTGATAGCAATTAAGCTGCTTTTCTTTTCAACACTCGTACTTAAAAAATAAATGTTTAGACATTTTTTAGATGTATTTTAAAATAAGATGATGCTACATATATATTTTCAAACACAAGTAAATTTTTAATTTGAAATTCACCGAAGTAGACAAAGTGAGCGTGGAGGAAGTGAGCCAGCTGGGCTGCATGGGTTTAGGAATGAATTTACAGAGGCAAAAGAAGGGCGCTTGGAAAGCAAAGAGATCCCTAGAGGGAGAGGCGGCCTCTTTGGGTCTCTGGGTACTCAGTCCTAAGGGCTTGTTGAATATTTTTAAAACTGCTTTTTCATTCCATGCTCATTCACTTTTTTGTTTTTTGTAACAGCTTTACTAAGACATTTCACATGCCATACTAGTCATGTTTTGCCCGTTCATTTTTGACATGGCCTGAATTTGCTCGGGCCACTCCGTTTCACTGTGAATGGCAGGTTTCACTATGAACACACAGTTTCACTATGAGCAGCAAGAGCAACCGTTTTCGTAGGGCCCATGCTCACACACACTATTACATTTAATAGAACGTGTTTGCAAGAGTTCAGGGGTGATTTCTGAGGATACAGAAGAGAAAAACTTACTAGCCCCTAGTGAAATGTAACATGTTAAATTGTTTTCTTAAAGTCCAAGTTTAGTAGTTGGCAGTGTATAGAGCATGTTTCCTTGTCATTAGACTTGTGATGCTCAGTGTTTTTAAAAAGCCATATGAGATATAATTACATAATAAAGGTCAGTTATGTTTAATTACTCTCATTAATTAATGAGGATTATTGTGCTTTTGACACAAATCTTATTTTAAAAAATATGGCTTTATTGATTTTAGAGAGAGGAAGGGAAAAGGAGAGAAAATTCAATGTGAGAAACATTGATTGATTGCCTCCTTCATGCCCCCTACTGGGGATGGAGCCCCAAACCTGGTCATGTGCCCTGGCCAGGAATCAAACGCTCAACCAAATGAGGGACACTGGACAGAGCTGGCACATACACCTTTCCAGGACCTCAAGATCTTCTCTGTAGAGGAATGTATCCATCAAAAGTTTCAGTGTGTTTGGATATTTATGTTAATAAAACTTGAAACAGCAAGTAAAAAATAAATAGCCTCCCCCTTTTCCTTTCCATTTCCTAGTAGTAAGTGCTGTTAGTATTGTAGCTTTATCCTACCAGCTTTTTTGTAGCGCTAGACAAATATTTGTGTGTTCCAATTAAAAGGCATGATAACATCACGTCTGTGGCTTATGTATTGGGGTTAATATACGTATTATGGATATCTTGCCATGCAATGACTACATTGAAATATAGAGTGATGTCTTTACATTATGTCACAATGGGAATGTAGTAACAGGTTGCTCACACTTTCTTGAATAGAAATGTTATGTGACATTATTGTTTGCTTACATACATTTCTATCTTTTTGTTTTTTGCCACTTGGATCGATGAAAAGTGTTTATTGGCATTTGCTTGACTTCTCATATTTAAGTAGGTTTTGAGTCTTTGAATTTCAACTGGAGTGAATATGTCCATTCTGTACTCAGTATTATTATATTGAATCATTTTCCTTATTAATTTTTGGAGCCCCTTTACATGATGAATAAGAACTCTTGCCCTAACTGGTTTACTGTAACACTATCAGTCTGCGGACTGTAGGGTCACGGGTTTGATTCCAGTCAAGGGCACTTACCTCGTTTGCAGGCCCAGTTGCAATAGATTTCCAACACTATGTTGAATAAGAATTGGCAAAGTGAACATCCCTGTCTTGCTCCTGTTCTCAGTGAAATGGTTTTAGTTTTTGCCCCATTGACTATCGTGTTGGCTGTAGGTTTGTCATATATGTCCTTTATTATTTTGTGGTATGATCCCTCTACTAGTGTTCCCACTTTGCTGAGATTTTTTATCAAAACTGGGTGTTGGAATTTGTTGAATGCTTTTTCTGCATCTATTGATACGATCATGTGAGTTAGTCTTTTAATTTATGTGATGTGTCACGTTTATTGATTTGCGAATATTGTACCAGCCTTGCATCCTTAGAGTAAATCCCTCTTGGTCATGTTGTATGATCTTTTAAAATATATATATAGTTTTCTTGATTTCAGAGAAGGAAGAGAGGGAGAGATATAAACATCAAAGATGAGAGAGAATCATGATCGGTTGCTTCCTGCAGACCTCCTGCTGTGGATCAAGCACGTGCCCTGACCGGAATTGAACCGCGACCTCCTGGTTCAGAGGTTGACCCTGAACCACTGAGACACACCAGCCAGGCATGATCTTTTTAATATATTGGTGGATTCGATTTGCTAATATTTGTTGAGGATTTTAGCATCTTGTTCATCATGGATATTGGCCTGTAAATCTCTTTCTTTGTAGTCTTTATCTGGTTTTGGAATTAGGATAATGCTGGCCTCATAAAAATGAGCTTAGAAGCGTTCCTTCCTCTTGGATTTTTTTTGGGAATAGTTTGAGGAGGTTAGGTGTTAATTCTTTGGAATGTTTGGTAAAACTCCCCTGTGAAGCTGTTTGGACCAGGGCTTTGGTTTGCTGGGAGTTTCTTTTTTATTATTATTATTACTGCTTCAATTTCATCAGTTGTTATGGGTCTCTTCTTCCTAATTAAGTTTTGGAAGATTATACTTTTCTAGGAATTTGTTTATTTTGTCCAGGTTGTCTTTTCTTACAATCCTTTATATTTCTGTGGTGACAGTTGTTATTTCACCGTTTTCATTTCTAGTTTTATTTAGTCTCTGTCATACAAAAAGCAACCAGTAATGCGTAAATAAGTGGAATAACAAATCAATGTTTCTCTCAATCTGTCAAATCAATAAATAGAAAAAAGGAATTAGATATAGTTTTTTTCTACTAAGATTGATTAGTGTTGTTTTATACAATTGGATAATGCTTACATATTTTATGTTCTGGATATAACTATATTGCAATTCTGAATTCTGATCAGTTTTTAATAAATGCTCCTGATTTCTCTGTGGAATCAGTTGTATCATCTTTATCCAACAAGAAATCTCCTAATTTTTTATATTCATTTTTTTCTCTCCTTGGCATTGAATAGAACATCCAGTGCCATGTTTAAATGTTAGTAGTATAGAAGTTATCTTTCTCTTTGCTCCTCCCATCAGTGTTTTAAATATTTCATACATTGGCTTTTAGTATATTCATAAGGTTGTGCAATCAACATCATGTCCATTTTTTTAAAAAAAATACTTTTTTATTGATTTCAGAGAGGAAGGGAGAGGAAGAGAGAGATATAGTAACAGCAATGATAAGAGACAATCATTGATCGGCTGCCTTCTGCACACCCCACACTGGGGATCAAGCCCGCAACCCGGGCATGTGCCCTGACTACGAATTGAACCGTGACCTCCTGGTGCATAGGTCAATGCTAACCACTGAGACATGTCGGCCAGTCCGAATATGATTTCTTAATGGGCATAAGGTTTCTCTTCCGATGATGAAAATATTCTAGAATTAGATAAGAGTCAGTTTTTGACAGCATTGTGAATGTACTAAAAACCACAGTAATGTATAATTTTAAATGGTAACATTGAATTTTTATTTTATTAGAATTTGATCTCAGTATAAATTTTTAAAAGGAATTGTATCACTACCCACTCACCAGAATGACCAAATGAAAAGACAGAAAATACTAATTGTTAATGAGAATGTAGAAGAATTGGAGCTCTCATAATCATTGGCTGAAAGTGTATTGATAACCACTTTAGAAAAAGTGTTGCCCTATGTACTAAAGTTGAAGATATGCAGACATATTCACACACTCTAGCACCCAGCATTTTCACTCCACACAATGCATATAATAAAACTATAGGAGTATACTTGTAATAGTCAAAAACTAGAAATAACTTAAATGGCCATCTACAGTTGAAAGATCAATATAATGAGTTACTATACAAAACCATGAATTACAAGTGTTCTTAACAGGTTGTGACGTTCCAATGGCTCATAGTGAGATATTTAAATGGATAAATCTCACAAATATAATTTTGAGTGAAAGGCAGTCAGTTTTGTAGTTTGATAATAAGCAAAAGAAATCTATGATGTCAAAGCAATGGTTTGCCTTTGGCACTTGAATGATGACTCAAGGAAATTTCAATTGGATTCTTGGCATATAGGTGTTCTTTCAGGAAAATTCATTATATACTTAGGATTTATACATTTTCTACTTCAGTGCACTTTGCATTAAAATAACAGAAGTTGCCCCATGAAATGGTGCCAATTTATAATTATTTAAAAAATGTATTTGGCAAAACATGAATATACCAAATAATTAAATTAACGGGCAAGAGAGTATAATAGTTTCTACTTTTTTTTCCTTTCTCTCTACACACCTCTTACTGGTATTTTATGACTTCTCCGAACATGTAAAAGTGAAAGTAATATTCTCTGGGGCTTCACATTTATTTTCTCTTTAATTGTTTAGTTCCAATGACTCTTATTCAGATATTTAAATGGATAATAAGAATATTTGCTGTGTTTGTTTTATAGGCAGATTTGAAAAACAAAGCAGTAAATGGCCCCAAGTCAGTATCCATGGACTACAGTGGATGTGGTCATGGGGAAGAAAAAAGATCGGAATTGAACCCACATCCCCCTGAAAATGTAACTGAAAATGAAGAAAGTACGACAGGTATTGAAGTGGAGAAGTGGATGCAGAGCAAGAAATCACATGTAACAGATCAAGTCAAAGGAGAGGTTAAGGCAATTGTGACGGAAGGTGAAAAACTGGGAAACTCTGAAGATGACACGAAAAAAGTCCTACCTGACCCTCAAAATTTGTTTGCACAAACGGTAAATGGCATTAAAAATGTACACTACTTACCAACAGAAACAGATGTGTCTTTTACAAAATTCAACATTGAAAAATTTGGCAAGGTGTCTGAAAACAATTCCTATAAACCCCTGATAGACACTGCAAACCAGAACAATGCCATGAGCTCCATTGCTGCTAATGCAAGCAGCGATCATCTTACGGGGAGAAGCGATGTTTTTGTCTTCCAGAAGCCTGGCTCTGAGTCTTTTCCTGATCCTGCAGATTTCAACTGCATGAGTCCTATGAGTACACGCAATGAAAGTGATCAACCAAAATCTCTAGAAAATATACCAACTTCAGAACCAATACATGGATCTCCAGTTCAACAAAATCTTCTATCCCTAGTGACAGATAGGACATTAACGCAGGAGCAAGTGGATGTTATAGAAGCTTTGGCTCAGCTTTCAAAACCCCCTGCAGAAAATTCCTCACCATCAACGTCTGAGAAGGATGAAGAAAACGAGCAGATGTCAGCTAGTTTGCTTAACTATACAGCTTTAATCTATTCTCTAACAAAAGACCCCGAAGAACCGTTTTTGCAGGGGGAGCCTCAAAGCCTTCACCATTGTCCATCTGTAGAAAAGCAAAGTTCATGCAACACGGTGGTGTTCAATGGCCAGAATAACATTTCCATGTCACATAACAGTGCAGCTACTGACCAAGTATCCCCGAAGCCACAGGAATATTCAAAAGCAAAAAATTCCACATCTCTTTTTACACCAAATTCTAGTTCATCTGAAATTGACACCAATCAAAATGCTGTTCATAATAGCAGTATTCTTGACAGTTGTTCAGAAAATTTGCATGAGAAACCATCAACAAGTGGTGAATTGGGGTCCTGCAACCAGTTACTGGACAGCAGCAAAAAGTTAGACTCAAAGGATGATCCATCATCATGTCAAGATACAGTTCATAGTCAAATAGAGGAAGATGTTGCTACCCAGTTAACACAACTTGCATCAGTAATTGAATTCAATTATATAAAACCAGAGGAAACAAATGTTGAAAGTACATCAACAAACCTTGTGTATAACGTGCAAAAACACAGTCAGGAGAAGAACACGATAAAACCGAAATCACGTTCCAGTGTAAAAAATAACCATGGCTCATCAACAAAGCAAAAGAACAAAACCCGGAAAAAGACAAAATCTGCTCCATCCAGAGAAAGGCGGAAAAAGAAGCCTGCAGTCACAAGTTGTCAAGAAAATGATCAGAAAAAGCAGGAAAAGTTGTCATATGAGTATAATAAGCTACATGACATTTGGATAGCGTCTAAATTTCAAAGATTTGGTCAAATTGGTCCACGTGATTTTCCTATTCGGTTGGGAAAAATTCCTCCTGTAACCCACGTACGGACAACACTTACTCAAGCAAGTTTAGCATTAAAACACAAGAAATTATTTCCTCCACTGGCCCAGATAAAATTTGAGCGAAATTCTGAATTAGCACAGGAAGAAATGATGAATGTTGATCCGCTGCATTCTCACTCCATATTCCATTTAAAAACAGAATCCAATGGGCAGGCGTTTACAGAAGAAGTTTCTCATTCTCAGGTACAGCCCATCGTGCATGTCAGTCAGGAAGCCCATCCTGTACTCCAGTCCTCCTCTCCCACCAATCCGTGTGCTAATGTGATGGCTGACCATGACCGAACACAGTTCCAGCAGGATGTGAAAGACCAACTCATGCATCAGACGCTGCCAGCATTGCCTAGCATCTCTCATGAGACCCCTTCATCGGACCCAGGACAAGTGCTCAGGAATGTAAATGTAGAACGTTCAGGTGGAATCACAGTGGTTTCTACCACAAATGAAGAAGACGTGTTTTTACCTAGTGTTGGAGCATCCGAAGTTTCCCCAATAGAAAACGCACATAATTTTCATAATTATGCCATGAACTTTTTAACGAATTCTACAAGAAACCTGGTGTCCACAACGAAAGATTCTGAATTGCCAAGCTGCAACTGCCTTGGTAAGTGCATGTGTATGGTGTGTGTGTTTCTCCTTTTACCTGCATTAATTGCCTCCAGTCATGGCTAAATCAAGTTTTGTTTGTTGTATTTTATATGTGGCATTTTGGCCCTATTCATATTCTAGCGAAGGTGGACCACATAATTCTATGCTACACATTTTTCTGTCAGACCTTTAATGATGCTGCTCAGGTGAATTGGAAATTCAACTCATAATCAGGAAACTTTCTCAAGTGGAAAATTAGCTGATTTCATTCCAGGCTAAATGTCTCAAATTGTTTACTCTGAATATTATAAGAATGAATTTTTTTTATACTTTATTACAGTTTGTTCCTATATTTTAAAAAATGCCTGGCCGGCATGGCTCAGTGGTTGAACACAAAAGGATTTCAAAGCTATAAGCTTTTGCTTATAATATTTTTTAATTGTGAGATATAATATGCATACAGAGAATGTAAAATATATATACAAACTAACAAATGACCATAAAAATTTAATGTTATTGCTACCTCCAGTCAAGAAATAACTGGGATATTTCTTTTTTAGTGCCTAGTGCTTTTATGCTCTGCTATATAATTCATAATACTGACTAGTTGAAGAATTTGCAAACCTTTTGGAGTTTTAAAATATTGAATTGTTCGCCCTGGCCATTGTGGCTCAGTTGGTTTGATGTCCTCTGGTGCGCCCAAAGGTTGCTGGTTTGATTACCAGTGAAGGTACTTGCCCAGGTTATGGCCTTGATCACCAGTAGGGGGTGTGTGTAGGAGACAATCAATGTCTTGCTATCACATAGATGTTTCTCTTTCTCTCTAAAAATCAATTTTAAAATCTTTAAAAAATATTACAGTAGCCCTAACCGGTTTGGCTCAGTGGATGGAGCATCGCCCTGCGGACTCAAGGGTCCCGGGTTCGATTCTGGTCAAGGGCACGTACCTTGGTTGCGGGTACATCCCCAGTAGGAAGTGTGCAGGAGGCAGCTGATCAATGTTTCTCTCTCATTGATGTTTCTAACTCTCTACCCTCTCCCTTCCTCTCTGTAAAAAATCAATAAAATATATTTAAAAAAAAATATTACAGTACTAAAGGACTAAGCTAGAATTCAGAGACAGGCAATCCAAACTCCAGTCTATGTTTGTAATATTCACCATCTGTTGCTTAAAAATCTGAAGTCAAATAGTATAAGTGATTTTCTGAATATCATGACAAATGGAAAGAAGATCTGTAAAATTTATATACCTGAGATAGTCCAATGATACCATTTGCATTAGCTTCAATAGGATGATTGTCTAGTTTCAAGACTCTTTCCTTACACATAGTAACTAGCCACAGTGTAAGAGTTCAGACAGCGAGGCATCAAAGTTTGAGTATCTGCAATGATCACGGAACTGTGTTTTCCTATAATAATTACATGTGAGGTTATTGTGCTCATTCTATAGAAATAGGAACTTAAAGAAGAGAAACAAAAAGCAGACTCACTCAGAAATCATCCCAAGTGGGACCATCACATTTAAGGGTAAAGGATTTCCCTGGAGGTATTATGTTCTAGCAAAATAAGGGCAATAACCTCTATCCAAGTCAGGGTTCCTCAAACTTATCGCTATTGGCCTTTTAGAGGGAACAATTCTTTATTGTAGGGAGACATGCATTGTCGCGGTTTAGTGGCATTGCTGGCCTACACATACACACCCCTCCCCAGTTGTCACAGCCAAAAACCATGTCAAATGTTCCACCAAGGAAAATTCACCCTTCATTAAGAACCAGTATTCTAGATAACTAGTAATAAATTGAAATCTATTCAATAGATCTTGCTGCAGAAGCCACAGAACTTAATCCCAAATTGTATTTGGTGCCCAATCAAAATAGTTCAATGATGACATTGTGGTGTAGGTGGGTACACCCTGGCCAATAATATTTAATTCCACAGTGACTCTAATTAGGCATGATTCAAGAGACCAAGTTAGAAACACTGTTTTCTAATAAATCTGTAATTCACAAAAATTCAAATGGTACAGAATTGTGATGCAAACATCTTCTAAAAATAAAACCTGTTACTTTTTCTACATGAATTAACATTATACTGATTTTAAATTTGTTTCAAATTTTGAAAAATTTAAGACTTTTAAAACACTGTATTTTTGCAATTTGTTTCTTTACCTTAAGAAATTAGTACACCCGAAACTAATACAAAATAATAGAATGTATACTGTAATTGAAAAAAATAAAAATGTTCTTTTATAATTTTTTAGATTTTTTTCAGTGATTGTAAATATCATCATATTGTTTTTAATAGCTTTATTGTTTTCCACCATATAAACATCTCCTAACTTATTTAACCTATCACTTACTTACAGATGTTAAGGTTTTTCTCTCTATCTCTCGATATTACAAATAATTGTAACTAGGAACATTCTTGTGTACATTTGCATTATAAATACATAATTGTGCAATTGTAGACTAGAACAGATCCTTAGTGGTGAAATTGTTGGGCTCAATTAATAGGATTCTGAAACTATGCTTTTAAGTATATTGTTCTTGGATAAATCTGAATTTTGTACCTCAATTATTAATAGATTTCTTAAAAGCAAGAAATTAAGAGAATAAATATGACCCACTTCTTAAAATGTATTCCCCCTCCTTCCCCCCTCTGATTCTCAGAGGAAGAGTGAATTAGGAACATAAAGTTAAATTCAGGGCTCATTGCCCTACACTTTAATGGCTAAAGCTTACCAAAACCTTGTCAAGATTCATTGTTCTGAATTGGGAAAAAAACACACCCCAAAACTATAAAAATAGCACTTCCTTGCCCCTACGCAGTTCTGTAAAACTTTGGGTCTAATAATCTTATTCCTTCCACAGATCGAGTTATACAAAAAGAAAAAGGCCCATATTATACGCACCTTGGGGCAGGACCAAATGTTGCCGCTGTCAGGGAAATCATGGAGACTAGGTGAGGAAATACGCTTCCCTGTTAAAATATTATTGTGGACCAGACTCGATGCAGAGAAATTACTTATGAGATGGATGTTTCTTAGGGCCCAGGAAGAAAATCGCTTGCTGGTGTCCCTGCTCAGTCACTCATCACAGGAGGCACTGGGCACCCAAGAACACACAAAGCAAGGCTGTCTTCGTTAAATTCAGAAATATTCACTTTTTATATTATTGTATCATAATAGAAGAAATAGTTCAAATTACCTCTATCAACACCATTCACATTCTTTTTGTCTGTCTGGGAGCCAGGCCATTTTTAAAGAGTGATCTTTAAGGATAAGTAAACAACTGGATATAGCAAAATATCTGCCACACAAAATTAAGTTTTTAACAATAGTAAATAATGACAAGTGTTTGATTTTTGTACTTCTGTAAAGCCATACCTTATGCACATTAAGATGTTAAAAGTATATATCGCAATTATTTTCTTTTCACTGTGTTTTGTACTCAGGTATGGGCAGAAAGGAAGTGCAGTAAGAATAGAAAAAGTAATATATACCGGAAAAGAAGCGAAAAGCTCTCATGGATGTCCTGTCGCTAAGTGGGTAAGTAGTTTGTATTTATACATTTTTCAAAAAGGGATTTTTCCATGTGTAAAAATTTGTTTTCATTGATTTTAGAGAGAGAAGGGAGAGGAATAGGGAGATAGAAACATTGATGAGAGACAAACATCAATTGGTAACCTCCTGCCATAGAGTTTACATATTTCTGGTTTTCCAATTTATTTCTCTTGTGTATCTGAGATGTACAATCATGTAATTTATCCTCCTTTCCAAATTTTATACTTTTAACTTCTTTCATTTAATATACTTAGTCTACCAGACTAACTCCAATTTTTTATTCCTTATTTTGTTCTCATTAGTGAGAACTTTCCAGGGGATTCTCATGATGAACGAACATTCAGGAAAGGCCTCTCTGGGAGGGGAACATCTAAACTGAGATCTGAGGGACATAAAGGAGCCCTGAGTATGCAAAGAATACCCCCCAAGAATGTAGGGAAGAGCATGTATAAGCCAAGAACATGTGTACAGGTCAAGGAAGAGAGTACATTCCTCATTAATCTTAGAGGGCGAGTGAAGTTAAAGAGGTTACGAACGTAAGCCGGTGAGGGTATGAAGGTAGATAGAAACCAGAGTATGAATGGTTTCATAGATCAGGGTGAGGAATTAGAGTTTTAGTTTACACACAACATGAAGCCTTTGATGTATTTTAATTAGGGGTGTGTTATCGGACTGATTTATGCTTTTAAAAAGGGCATTCTAAGAAGATAATTGATAAAGTCTGTATTCATTACCTGTTGCTACTTAGTGGCTGTGTGCTAGTGGCCTCATTTCCTTAAAAGACATCTTTCTCCTGTCAGAGCATCTTGGTTTCCCCCAGAGTGAGTCAATCAAAGGATAACACAGAGGAAGCCACAATGTCTCTTGTGACATTAGCCTTGGAAGTTGCTACACAAGTAAGCCCTATTCAATGCAGGAGGAACTATGCGAGGGCATAACTACCAAGTGGTGGTGATCATTGGGGCCATCTTGGAGACTTGACTAATATGTTATCTTCACTAAACACCAACATGTAAGAATACTACATTGGCCCAGCCGCTGCTGCCCAGTGGTTGAGCATCAACCAATGCGATGAACCAAGAGGTCATGGTTCAGTTCATGGTCAGACGGGCTTGATCCCTGGCAGGAGGCGGCTGATCAATCAATGCCTAGGTTATGGGCTCATTTCCCGGTGTAGGAGGCAACCAATGTTTCTATCTCTCCCTCTTCCTTCCTTTCTGAAATCAATAAAAATATTTTTTTTTAAAAAAAGAATACTATCTATCCTAGGCCTCTCTGATATATCCCATACCTACTACATCTATCTTCTTTAACCCTGTCTTCTCTAAAGGAAAACCTTTTTTTTAAAAAATATATTTTATTAATTTTTTACAGAGAGGAAGGGAGAGAGATAGAGAGTTAGAAACATTGATGAGAGAGAAACATCGATCAGCCGCCTCCTGCACATCTCCCATTGGGGATGTGCCCGCAACCTAGGTACATGCCCTTGACCAGAATCGAACCTGGGACCCTTCAGTCCGCAAGCCGACGCTCTATCCACTGA